TGGCCGGCCTTAACAATCGCAATCGCAATCACAACCACAATCACAATCATTTATAACTATTAGTAATCAAGGGGGGGTCACAGAATTTTGCAAAGCGCAATAAAGTTTAAAAAAATATATGAAAAAAATCAGAAATCGGAAATCACTAATCGTTAATCATAATCGATCTGTAAATTTTACAAAATTTTGCAAACCGCAATAATGAATTAGTTGCAACTCATCAATTAATCGCAACTCGTCGATTAATCGATTAGTTGCAACTCATCAATTAATCGATTAGTTGCAACCAACTGAAAAAATAATTTACCAACTAATCGATTGAGAAAATTTGCCGATTTGTAACACTAGCCCTGATGACGCGTTGCCAGAGGATTGCAACTATATTCTCTAAGATGGAGCCTATTCCACCTTGCGATTGAGAATATCCTTATAACCACGTCCGTAACTTCTACCCGACTACAAAGTGAATTTGGTAAGAGCACATGAACATTACTCTACCACCTGCGCAAGAAAACTTTTCGTGTGGCAGGATACAATAACGTTGCTTCATCAGTTTTGCAATAAAGACTAAACGAAAATACTCTGAAGTTAAAATGCTGATAATGGAGAAAAAAAAATTTTTTTAAAAGATTTATCGCTTGTGAAACTGACCTGCCTTTTACAAGGTGAAAGTAACTTGCATTTAATAACTAAGTGTTGATTTACGTGTTCGTTACGATCATTGTAATATTTTTTTAATCTCCGATCTGGCAACACTACACGTAATAGGGATAAATAAATTTATTATGTATAAAAGAGTTTTATCGCATAACTAGTTATAGCCCATTGCTTCGCTGCTGGGATTTTCACCATACTCACTCATGCTAATGCGAAAATATAAAATTAAATAGTGAATACCGTATTACCGCGGAATAGCGCACATGGGCGTTATTTCGAGGTTCGGCCCGAATTAAGCTTAATTTAGGCCGAAATTTGTAATTTCACCCCTGCGCGTTATTTCGCGGTAATACGGTAGTTGTGAACCTAAACATTCTTAGTCGCACACTAAGTAAACAAACAAAACGAATTTAAATAATAAACATTCAAATAAATTTTCTTCATATTTACCTAAGTTAATGTAATCAAAATACCTTAAATAGTGAGTAGTGAATAGTTGCGAATCAGAATAACTTACTAAACACATAATCATGAACCCGAATATTCGAATATCTTATTTTAAATAAAGATTGATAAATTTTCTTTATAGTCACGCAGATCAAATAAAATTAAATAACATTCATAAAATTAAATAGCTTAGTTTAAACACTTAAAGTATTAAATTTTCTTCACACTCACCTAAATTAACACGATAAAACTGCGATAAAACGAAATTGAATAGTAAATATTCATAGACCTGATTAGTTTAACACTTAGAACGGTGAACGTATTTTACTTGATCGCAATAATCGCAATGTTATATATTTACATGTTACATTTGTATAAAATTTTCTTTACCTTCCTAAATTAACGTGACAAAATAGCAAATATCCATAAACCTAAACACCTTATTTTAAAAAATTCAGTTAATAAATTTGCTTATTCTCATCTAAATTAACGCGAACAAAATAGGATTAAAGATTAAACATTTATAAACCTGAATATCCTATTTTAAATGGCAGGAAAGTGATTTCGCTGGAAAGTGAATGTCAAAAAAAAAGGATCGTTAGGAAAATGAAATAGCTCTCATTTACATACAGTATAACGGTGGTCAGCTCTCAGATTTCAATGTTGTAATTACACCGTTTTTTATATGGCCTAAAGTAAAGACAGGACGAACATTAATAGTATCTGTCACGTTTGATATACACAAAATAATGAACGCGAAAAAAAGTATTTATATAGATCTTGTGTTAGATAGCAATTAAATTTATGGATCAACATATGGGGTCTTTGCCTTGAAAATGACCTTACGGTACATGATACCGTAAGGTCATTTTCAAGGCAAAGACCCCATATTTTCGATTATGCGAATTTATGTATAATTTTTTATTATTATTTTGTTTATATATTTTGGAAGTAAATTCTAAAACTTCTTCCATCGATATTCCCACTGAAATAAAAGTATTTTATGGCACGATTGCGATAGAAAAATGAATTAATTTCTACTTTCACTGATATTCAAAAATACTACTTGTTTTTACCCTCTTTTTTGAAATATTCATCGATCCTTTGTTTCTTTTTTACTGGTGAAATGTCAACATTTGCTCGATCCTCCAAGATGCCAATAATTATTTCTAAAATTTCCTTAACACTGCGTCTTAATTCAGTATCATCATTAAGAGAAGTTTCGTCAAGAGGAATACGGTAAACTTTTTGGCTAGTGCAATAAATACTATCTGTTGTATTCAGAAGGAAGATCCATTCAGTCCCAGTTGAGACTATACCATAGACGTACTCATAATCGATTGTTTCTTCGATTTTTCTCTTTCTATTTTCTTTGTTCGACTGAAATAAGTAGTATTCACGTTAATCACGTTAAAAAAAGCTTTTAAATGAACAAGCAAGGATATTTACTTCGCACGAAGACTTGCATTGCACAATGTTCTGCAATACCCCCAATTTTAGTTGATAAGGTTTTCCTTCAGTAATACATAGAATTTCTTCGGCCGACTGGTCCATGATTTTCTTAATTACATAATCCACACGATCATTAATGCCAGATACTTCAAACTGGGGCAAAACTCTGATACGATCCTTAATAATACTTTTGAGTATGGTAACTGACGCATGCAAAATTGTTGATATGTATTCATATCGCATTGCTTCGTTACTATCAATTACTGAGCCCATGTTTTCTAATTTTCGTTTAATGTCTTCTACACAGAAACATAAAGATGAATTGTCTCCTTCGAGTTTATGAATGACTAGAATAAATGAAAGGAGGTATATTAAGTAAATTTGCCTAGTTTACAGATTTATTAACAATATCAACCTGGTTCGAATTGTGGTATATCAATGATACTATCACCACTGATTTTATATAACTTAAACACTTCTCTCAGGTCTTCTACGGTACGGTACGATGAAAATGATCTTTTCGTTCTGTTTTTGAGTGACTCCACTTCTTTCGCAAGTATTATTGCGGGACCTAACGCTACTCCAGCTTTAATAAACTTGTCTTCAGTCATCATAAGGAAACTTTGTCCGTTGACTTCTGCTTTGCGAAGAACATTGAAAACTTCCTCGTCAACATTTAACTTCTGTTTTTGCAAAAAAGTGATCAGAGCTTCTGTATTCCAGTTTTCAACAAATACAAATTTATCAAGTTCTATTTCAGAAGACATGACTTCTATGTTGAAATAAAAAACGTATAGGTCACAACAAGTCTTAACAATTCTTGCGCCTGCCCATGCGCTGGGAGTTTTTAGCAGCTCTAGTGCGCTACCCTTAAACATTTCGGCAGCCAACCAAATTTTTAGATCAGGTGTATTAAAACTTCAATGTGATAAAAAAGGTTGCTCCGCAAATTTTTTGCATTAATGAAGTTCTTTCTAACTTAATATAATAGCGAAATCCTATTCTTAATTTAACAGCAAAATTTTTTTAGTGAAATCTTTGGGTTGGTGACACTAGAGTTCTAGTAAAATTTAAATTGGCTGACTTGAATTAATGCTAATAGGAGGTTGCAAAATTAATAAATAAGTGACGCATTTCGAAAATAAGTACGTACGTAGGATTTTTTTTAATAATATTTTTACTATGTTGAATTATAAATCGGAAAAATAAAATAAGATTCTGATTTTAATTTGGAAACCACTTAATAAATTTTAAAATTCTGAATAGAAATTTTAAACAATAAAAGGAGTGCAATAGGAATGCAAATAGGGCTTATCTATTTTGATTATTCCATTTCTATCCTCTAGTCAAAAAATAATTTATTGTATTATGAATATGTACAGATAAAATCCCCTGATCACTATATCAAGTTCACGGGAGGATTAATTAATAATACCCTAACCGTATGTGAATAAGTGAAAACGAAGTTTCTGCTAATTTCCAACAGATTCATTTGTCACTCGATCACCCGGTATACTATCAACACAACAAAATACAACTACAGAAACACTATATGGGATTTCGCCTCGCTGCTCATGTGGTGTATAGCTCTAGCATCATCCTTCTCCTACCTATTTCTCTTTTTTTTCTCTTTGATATCCAAGCTGTTCAGTTGGGCTATCAAAGTACCTACCTCTA